TCGCACACAAGGACGCTCTTGATGCGAATACGGCAGTCTTTCGTCCAAGCCAGGTCACCAAAACAGCTATAGAACTAAAATTCTTAGGTATCTCGAAAATGTCGGCAAACGTAACTACGGCCTGACATGACACTCAGCTTCCAAACTGCTTCGAAAAGCAGTATACAGATGCACAGAGAGTAGGATACACCCTTGCTTACTGCCTCATTTTTGTCGTTTCTCTGGTTAGGAATATATTCCTTGGAGTAGTTGTTTACAAAACGAAAACCATGAGGAAACCCATCAACTTTTTAATTGTGAACATGGCCATGTCGATCAGATCTTCTGTATCCGCTGTTTGTATTTTCCAGGGGGATAACACAAATGCAAACCAACTCTTGGCTAATCAGTGGTTCCTTTGGTGAAGCTTTGTGTAAGCTGGTGATCTTTTTAACGGAAGTTTCCGCTGCTGTGTCGATTCAGAGTCTGGTCCTAATAGCAGTGGATCGATTTGGAGCTGTTGTATTTCCCCTCCGCTCTCCGGTCATCACTTCGAGGCGGTGCCCCTTCTTTATCCTCGCCACTTGGATCTTCGCTGTTGCCATTCAGTCCCCATTTTCTATATTGTTCTTGGACTTGTTCAGCTTCCCTCATTAAGTCTTACGTGTTTTACTTGTTGGGAAAAAGTATTCGGAGATGCCTCCTTCTTTGAAGATTACGTCTTCGGTAATATCGTAATACTCTGTTATGTTCAAATGGTGTTCATTATCGTTCTTTACACGATCATCGTTCTCAAGTTCGAAACACAAGTCGTCCCGGGCTGTGCAAAATCGGTCAGCGTTTGAGCAACAACGTTTGAAAAGGTAGCGAAACGTGTTGAAAATGGCCATCGTCATCATGTCTATGTTTGCGGTATGTTTTCTGCCCATGACCATCTACTTTTGTCTTGTCCTCTTCTCAGCAGACGTGGTCATGTTGCAGTCATGTCGCTTCGCACAGTTTGCATGGTTCTCTTGTTTTTTAGCTCACTCGCACTGAGCTATATATCCTTGCATCTGTTTTACTTTCAGTGGAAATTATCGCCAGGGTCCTAAGAATATCCTCAGCTGCTTTTCTATTGGTACTAGGGCTGATCAAGACGAACGACCTGGTGTAGAATTGAGGCCGGTAGTATAGTGTTACGTTCTTATAAACAATAAAACGAAGGGAAAATAACAAAGAACAAAGAGCCAAGAACAGAGAACCTGGAAGCATTGATAAAACTAGACTTCTGAGGTTATCGCAGCATTTGCACGTGCACAGAGTTTATTTTTAAGTTGAAATCCGTAGTTCTGGAGTCTGAGGTTTGAGTGTTCCACGAAGATGTCGTTGAGAGAACTGTCTCCTAACAGATATTTCATTTATCAAAAAAACACGAAGTGTTGTTGTCTTATCAAAGTAATTCGTAAAATGCAAAAATACAGTAAGTGGTTTGAATCCGGGGGTGACATGTGACGATGTAGTGTGATCGTCCGGGTGAGTGTAGTCCTGACAAGGACTGTTGTCGGTAGTAGTGACTGACGTTTCGACAACCTGAGCGGAAGTCATCTTCAGAGTCAAGTGAATAGTTGTTGTCAGTCGAATGTTCTAAGTCCAGTTCGTATGAAATTATTGGTCAGTTTCGCTGTGATGACGAACCTCCTTGCCTTTA